CTACATACCAGTATTTGCCATATGCCTAGCTAGATTATGCCTTGAGATTATGCCTTAGACTATCTTTGTTGTTCTTGGGGGTTCGGCAAGTTGTTGAGGAAGCAACCACAAGGCTGTCTCTTACCCCGTAGTTGAACTTGAGAGTTGCCAGGCTGACGGAAAAGTGGTGTGTAGGTTAGAGTCTGCAAGATTGAGGGTCTTGCATGATGATGGTTATAGTCAGTTGTCGATGCACAGGAGATGTTGCTTGCATGGTCGCTCACAAAACTGGTCTGTTCGCATAGCTTGTTGCTTGGCAGGCTTGGCGCTGAATGCATGGGTGAAGATGCCTAAGCCATACATACGACGAGGCACACAGCAGCTTTTCACAAGCCCTACTCAAGATTGGGACTGTCAACGCTTAACCGTAAGACTCTGACTTGCAAAGCCGAACCCCCCCCTCAACCCCAACTGCCCCCGAAAACCCCTATCCCTTCAAGTGGAGCCGCTACGTCATACGAAGTGTGCTTGGATGGTTTAACCCCATATTTCCCCTTAGCCTTGATGCTCTGGATCCTAAGGCCGTGATCACCAAGCCCATAACCTCGCCCCTATGCAGACCTTCCGTCATGGCATTCTTTCGGGGTTCCCCATTGAAGAAATCAACCGCAAAACATAGCAACGCCGCAAAGGAACCAAGCCAGAGGCTCTAGGGTCTGGCTTAACTAACGCCTTATGCCCTATACACATAATCTTTGCTATGAACTCCGAGAAAAAAAGGACCCCTAATGTTGGAAGCCTCTAAATCTAGACTTACCCACATTCATACTCCTCGAGACTGCCAAGTCTCATAAAGCTTGGACACCAGCACGACAGACAGCAGAAGCGGCAGGCGCGCCGGTATGCCCTGAAGGGAGGGATGAGTCCTTGGCTATCCAAACTTCCCAATGACATGAGGGTTTAGGGTGCTGTCCAAAGTTCCCAATTTCATGACTTGCCCCCCTATACTACCCCCTAGGTTTCCTGCAACTTGTGTTAATCAAGCTTGGCTTCATTAAGTGAAGCTAAAGGTGAACCGAAGGGGGGTGGAGTATCGAGGTTTAAGAAGGAGGCGAACCCCTGAAAATTGATGGACCGCTTTTCATGGATTGTGAAAAATGTCTGGTGATTGAGAATTTAAAATCTGGGACAAAACATACGTATGGGTTTGGATTAGGTTAGAGGCCTTGAAGCTAAGTAGACAAAGTATAACCCTTACAAAGGTCACAACAAATTGTGGAGATGGAGATGGCAAGTAACATTACGCATTGCGAAACCCATGGCGTTTCCCCTCTGTTCCCATACCCGACCTGCCTAAGAAGCAGTCTACGTTGACTTTCGAGGGATCTGTCTCTGATGGTTTGCGAAGTCAAAAAGTGCAAGGGTTCAAGGAAGCTCCGCCCATTTTCCGTGTCCCTCTAAGAACTATACTTTCAGAAGTGGATAGGAGCGTTCATGTCCACAGCACACAGGAAGGAGCATAAAACGGGCATCTAGAAGCACTGGGTTGAGCCGAACCTAAACCCTGAGGCCCACACCCATTGATTCAGCTAATCCCCAACAGGCAACTTGAAAAACTGGAATCTAAACCCAAAAAGGTACCTGCATAGAAAGCATTTTGGGCCGCAAGTATATAATACTGGAATTACATTAGAAAATTTAGACCCCTAGGGGTGAACCGCTGACCCTGCGAGCGGCAGAAACTTGTTCCGCACCAGTTGTCCCTCGAAGAGGCTGCTGTGCATCTCCCCTTTGCGCGGCATGAAGGTTAGGGCTAGCATGCCGCGACTAGTGACTAGAGGGACCCCTGGAGAGACCTGAAGGGGGAATTGCAAAGTCTAATTGTCCTCCAGATTCTCAACGTGAAGTGTTGCTTTCATTAGCTTTTGGTGGACTTCGCTGTGGATCTGTATGTTTTTGGGGGTGCGAATGTGGAGGAGTGTAGGGCTTGAGAATATCGAGAAATATCCTCAGTCTCTGGAAGGCGCAGGCGCGTGATTGTGCAAGGAAGCAGCCAGGCCTTGCAAAGCACTGGTGCTCGAATCTCACAAGGACCTCTTTCGATAAGTTGTATGGCTGGTATTCTTGGTCTTTGTAGTAAGTAGTACACGGCGGCCATCAAGTAATTTTCAAATCAACGCAAGCGTATGTAAGTCACGATCAAAACACCGGGAACACCTTTTTATGGCCATACGGCTTGTGCATGGGAAGGGCAGGGCAGGGTACAGAAGCATCCAAATGAGGCTTGAGCTAAAAGCTTATCATGGGGAATGTGCCCACAGCCATGTCCATCCTTACCTGTGTTGGATAATCTTTGCATTGAGTGCAGCTGAATGCTTTGTGGGGTTATCTTGGCATTTGTCTTCTACAATGGTATCAAGCAAATGCTTCTGAAAAGGACTGTGTGGGATCTTGCGCTCTTTGGGCCCTACACAGGGGATGCATGTTGTCACGCATGTCATGCTGGCTGCTCGAGATATCCCTCCCCCAAACTGTAGGCTTGCTTTTTGGTGCTAGGTCCAGGTCAAATTGACGAGTTTGATGTTTCAGATTTGCAGGACTCATCATCTACACGCTACGCAGCCCCCAAGTTATTGGATCTAGAATAAAAATGTGTTGCCTGCAGCGACCCTTCGACGTCCGGGAAAACTACGACGCAGTAAGCCGTTGTAAGAGCCCCTTGCTCCACAGGTTTCTAAGTTGGCCCCTATTTCTGCCAACTCTTCATCCGAGTGTTTGAGACAATTTTTCCCACTCATCTCGGCCAGGTACTTGCTAAGTTGACGGGCATATCGGTGACGATCAGCTGCCTCAGAAAGTCAGCGTGTCGGAGCTTGACGAGCCCCAGATTTGATCCAAAGAAGGGCCTTCCAAATGGAATGATGTTGGGGAATCTCGGGGCCCTAGAGGGCCTGTTGCATTTGCAGGGGTCCATTGGGTCTACGTGAAACAACTAAAGCACGACGAAGGTGGCCCCTGCTTGCAGCCAGGCAAAGAAACGCGAAGATATTCTCAAGCCCGCATGCCTGCGAACCGCTACTCGTATTTGGCAGACGCAAAAGATCCTTATGTGCCTACACCCTGCAGCCAAATCTGCACAGGCAACCCCATCATTGCTCCAAAGCCCCTTCCTGACCGGCCAAAATCCCAACCCCTTGTCAGCAGTCGAAGCCCTACCTAGTAGACCTCCCAAATATCGATAGCAATAGCCTCAATCAGCCCTGAAACCTTCAAGTCCTCCAGCCCTAAACCCTAATCCACATAAAGACCCTGTTTAGGAATTCTTAATCCCGAAGCCCTAAACCATGACAATGGCTGCAGGCAGGGGCGCTGCATCTCTTCGAGGTCGTGCTGTCTGGGCACATCCCGCAATCCATGACTCACCTAACTAAGGTAAGGTCAAGGGGTCCACATTGACAGGCTCTAAGGCCCCAAACCTAGGCGTTCTTTCTAGACTTGGATCAGTATGGAAGGATTAGCGGCTTGTGAGTCGTGATTTACAGTTCTACGCGTCCAGTGAACAGGGGCATAAAGCAGGGATGGGTCTTGAAGGCATTAATTATGATAGACTGATAGACAATGCCCCCAAAGGTATGCCCTGGGCTCTGCCCTGAGCCCGAAACCCTCCTGCCCTGAGCCAGGCCTAAACAACTCTTTTCCAAAACATGTTTAGTCCTTCAATCAAAGTGTTTTCAACATTTCCTACCAATAAAATATCTAAAACTTCCATCCAACCAAGCCCTGAGCTCTCCTTTACTGGGTCTGATACGGCGGATATTACGCATCGAAGCGTCCTACGGATGGTGCATTGTGGGGACAACCCGGATTACCAAAGGACCAGCACAATCCATATCAAAGCCCTACGTAAACACCAAGTAGTACATAGGGTGGATCCCTAGTGCACTCCCTAAAACCCCCAAGCCCTCTGAGAAGCATACCCGGAAGCCTGTTTAGAGCACAACTCTGGGGCTTTTTAGACGGCTTGTCCTTTCTAGGGACACCTCAAAAACCGAACATTCCTCTGCTTCAGACCTTAAGCTCCCGAAACACAAAAGCCTGAGCAAACTACTACACCCAAAGGCGGGCATGATCTTCCTCTATGTTCGGAACATGTCGGAACTATAGCATCCCTGTTAAACATACTGCTCACCAGGTTTGATAATTCCCAAACTGCGGCCCAAGCCCAGTTTTGGAGGGACTTCGCAACGTCACCTGGCCCACAATCGCATTCAGAGTGTCTACATAGGGTGTCAAGGGGTACTTGAAATCAACCAACCCCTGCGCGTCATAACAAAACCCTCCCCCGCAAGCCCTCATCCCGAGACAGTCAGGATTCATGGGGTGCTCATGGGCAGGTACAGCTGTTGTTATGGGAAGGGTTGCCAAGCAAGTAGAATGCTATTTGCAAGCAATATCACCATCCTCCTAGTTACCCTTCCTTGCTCCAGGAAATTGGAAGCAAAGGGAACCCTACTTTTCGACCNNCCCCCCCCCCCCCCCGGCCCGGGTGGAAGCATTACAGCTGGCATTCCTGATCAAGAGCCTCAGCTTGTTAGGAAGATTCGGTTGGCCTTGGCTGCGGTCACCCTGAAGGTCCAACTGTCCAAGACAAGAATATAAGGGTTTAGGGCTTAGAGTTTTAGGGTTTTGGGGTTTAGGGTTTAGGGGTTTAGGGTTCAGATAATACTAGATGTTTTGTGTAGAACGGCAAATAGACATCAATGATTTGGAGGACTACTGAATAAGACGCATACAATCGAGGCCTAAGCCATTTGAGTTTCTACGTCTTTGTGTCTTTTTGTAGACTATACTTTCCTGGCACGTCATGAAAGCTCAGAGGTTTCCAGGTGTGAATAGAAGATGCAGCTTGCAAGTCTACGAAATCCACGCAGCATGCCGTGAATGGTTCTTGAGGTTCCTGTATCCTACAAGCCTTGCACCCTAAACCCTAAACCCTAAAACGCATGTCCTGGAGTTGATGCTTATTCAGGGGACCTTTTCAAAAAGGATCCGCCTCGTAACCGCGCGTGCTGCATGAAGCCGGCCACCAACCGCTGCCGGTGCTCCGCTAGGGTCTTTAACTCTGTGTCCTGCAAGGGTCTGCCTTTGCAGAACTTAAATAAGGCTTTGGTTGCAGGCTTGAAGGGAATAGCGGTTAAGGGTTGAAGGTCAAGGCTTCCGGGCAATGATCTATAGCAATGGCAGTGGCCTCCGGAATCTGCCATTCCTGACAAACACACTTGCTCAGAACTGTGGCATTTGAGCTTTGTTATTATGGCTGCAGTAGAGCCAGGGTCCAAGCCATCATCTGATCAAGATAACCTGCGGCCCTACATCTTTCAAATATCTGACAACCCACGGCTCTCTTTGTTTGCAAGACTGAGGGTAATGCCGAGCTGTTATCAAGAGTCAAGAGATATGAAGAGTAGCAAGCCTGAAAAACTGTCCTGGGAAACCTCTGAAATCACCTTGCCGATGATGACGCTGTGCATCACAGTGCCTGCCATGATCAGCGTCTGGGGTGGAGGGTTAAGGCTCTGCGGAAGAGTAAACATGCCTTTCGTCAGCAAAGGAGGCCACCAGACCTCTTACAGAAATTCTTGTGGTGACACAATCCCAGGTTGCCATCGCCTGCACAACACCTGGGATTGCTCATGATTCGCACTCAAGTGCGAAATTCTCGACTAGGGAAAGTTTATTCGTTTCCAAGGCCAGCACGAAAGCCATTGTCGGATTGCCTTTTATGGGTGAGTTCGGGTGAGTGCGCCCAGAAGGAAGCCCGGATGCACCTCCATATGCCGCCATGTCGAAACATGATGGCCGAACGGCTTGGCATGCACTATACAAAGGGAATTGGGGAATCACCTAAAGAAGCAGCCGGTCACAGCTGAGAAACCCAGAGCGTTAAACAACTAGCTAGTTCCATCACCAAACACTCTGCAGCCAAACCCGATCAATCATTGTTAACCCTGAACCACATAAACATGAACAACCAAAATGCTATAACCCGAAGCCTTGAAATTCAAACCCCGAGCCATGAACCTGCCAAACCACCAGGGCCGCACACCTTTGGAACATCCTCCGCACCTATGGGCAGGAAGCCACAACCCGTAAACGAGTGGCAAAAGCCTTTCTCGACCCGCTGTATTTGCAGATCTTCACGATATAGAGTTCTGCACGGAGGAATCTTGAGAAAGAAAAGCCGCCTCAGGCAATGAGCATGGCTAAGCAGCTAATTCGAACCAAATCTCACTCTGCGAGCCCTTGTGCCCAACAAGTTTGTTTCTACATATGCTGTGAAATCTGCCATCTCCATCCCATGAACGCTAAACTCAGCAAGCCCACAACCTCCAAGGCCACAAATCCCAACCCTGTAAACCCTCAACCCGGCTCCGAAACCCCAAACCCCCGGAACCGTAAACGCAACCATAAATCACGTAACCTATTCAACTGCTAAACGCTCTTTACAGGCCTATGAGCATTGTGAAGCACACGTAGAGGACCTCTGGCATAGTCTTGATGGAAAAGTCACCAAATCCGACCTTCGAAAGCTTCACAGCTTGTCGGTAATACTAATCGTAATAATTAGTACAAATAATGATAATCATAAATTCTACGATAGGGTGGTTAGGGATTAACAAACTTTTCTTGGTGGTGTTTGGTGGTGAGAGCTCGTTTGACACGCAAGTGTTTAACTCAAAGCTCTGAGCTGCTTTTGGATCTTGGACCGTCCCTCTTGTGGGGGAGTACCAATGGTCCAATATACAATGATAATGTATTTCGCGGTTCTTTTACTTGCAATCGCTTTTTAGGTTTTGGGGAATATGATAAGTTTATACTTTTGAGACGCGAAGACCCAACGCGAGTCCAAAAGTGACGCCAGTTCTGCGTTCCGCGGCCACGACTCAGCCGATCCCTGTGACTGTTGACACTTTTAAAGACGCGAAGACCCAACGCGAGTCCAAAAGTGACGACAGTTCTGCGTTTCGCGACCAGGAACCCCCCGATCCCTGTGACGGTTGACACTTTTGAGACGCGAAGACGCCACGCGAGTCCAAAAGTGACGATAGTTCTGCGTTTCGCAACGATTTTCGGCCGCGGACGCTTGCGGACACACGGCGGACGCTTGCGAAGGCTCCGCACGGATTTTGCGTCAAGTCCCAACCCCCAGACCGCCAACCTCGAAACGGAACCCTTCTGCTGCGCATTCGGAAAAATATTCCTTATCTTGCGAGGGACCTCTGATTTCCCTAAATCCTATACCTGAAATCCTAAACCCTAATCCCTGGGTTCAAAGACTTGACTTTGAGGCTAAGCACCTTCTTGAAGGTGCAAGGTAAATATGGAGGTTTCCCAAAATTGGAGGTTATATAGGGCTGAGGTTTGGGGCTTAGGGTTTCCCACAATTAGGGGCTATATATAGAAATGTACGATTGTTGGGTCTATACTGGGGTTCCCTTATTTGGGGAAACTACCATATAGAATGATAGGGGTTAATTGAGGGTTATATAGGGCTTGTATACGGGCATATAAGGCTTCGGTTGATTTACCAATGAGACTTGGGCAGCAGTTGCCTTGAACTTCCCAATAGGGGTAGCCTTGCATTCGTTGGTTCCTACTTTTTGCTATATCCAATGCATCCCTTCAAGGGCCCCTAGAATCCACTGGAAACAGGCATCAAGCATGTACCAGGTGGCCAGGTAACAGCATTAGAAGCGTTCAATCCATCGCCAAGGGGCACCAGTGGCGCAAGCTTTTAGTGCAGCAAAGAGTTGTGTTGGGGCTTCCCGCTAGAGGGCTGACTTTTCAGGGCTTTGGAACAAAACGCCGCGTTTCAGGGAGATCAGACGTTGACAAGCGTGCTTCACATACTTGGCATCGACCCTCATGTAGAGGCCTGGCTACTGTAGCCAAACGCCCAGAATGAACATCTTTGGAGGGCTCAGGAGACTCTCCTACGTGCTATTGGCGAATGATTTCGTTGACATTTACATTTCATCCTATTTGAGCCACATTGGTCTTCCCAAAATTCTGCCCAACTCTCCTGGGCCCCGAAGAGGCTCATTCATTCTGTCAGCAGCCACGAGGCAGTGGTAAAGACCGTAAAGACGAAGTAGACCGCGTGTACCCATTGCTCAACTGGCGGTCGGTAGAGCAGCCTGGTTGCTTCAGAATGCAGTTTTTGTAGTGCCCAGCACCACGGGAAGATCTCATTCAAATGCTAGCTAGGAAGAAGCCGTAGGTTCTCCGGTCACTCTCTTAATTTCCTAAACAGTTTTGAGTAGGGTCTATGGCGTCGCACTGCTAGCTGCTAGCATGCAGAATCCATTCTCTAACGGGGCTTTGTCTGATAATGAGGTGGCTAGCGGCTAGATATTCAAGGACGCTCAATTCTGGCACCCAGGAACAGGTTCACAGAAAACGTCGTAAATACCAGGCCTGATGCCCCTATCACCTCGGCCTGGTGACAACTGCCCGAAGTCCAACACTCAAATGCAGTCAAGGGGCATGTCCTGATCTTGGTTTACCAAACGGAAAGCCAACCAGGTCTCCTTTTTCAGCAATATGGATACAGGATTCTGTAGCTTTCGAAGGCATACTGAAAGCACTTAGAGGGCCTCCGCTTACAGCCCAGGGAGGTGATATGTACGCTACAATCCCTGAGCTCCTAGAAGCCTAGTCCTAAGGGTCCAATGGGGATAATTGAAATTAGTATAATATTGGGGTTATAATGGGGATAATGGAAAATGAAATGGAAACTACTGAATTGTACTACAATATTGGAACGGGTCACAGGGATCCTGCATAAATGATCTGAAATACTCGGGCCTTTTGGTGCCAAATCAAATTGTTTCAGGGAGAGCGCCTCACATCAAATCCCACAAGCAGAACCAAACCTGGTATAAAAAGCTACGAGCAGCTTTGAGAAGCAAACCTCCCGGAACGGATCACAGCCTTAAAGAATTACCAATATCCTGTTTCTATATTTCTTAATCTAGTATAGGGATCTCTAAACCCTAAACCCTAGGGAGTATTAGGATTCTGCACTAAGGAGAGGCTCCATGTGGTCGTCATGCAGTGCTGCACAGAGATACCATCCACAAGCCAAGACCTGGTGGTCAGTTCGATGACTTGCTGGGGGTTGATAGGGAATAAGGGAGTATGCGTAGGATATATGCTTCAGGGCTTACTGTAGGGAATACAGGAATATATCATTTAGGGAAAATATTCCTTCTTCCCTACTGACCACCAGTGAGATGATGTAAAGGTGAAATGGGAGTTGTCCTACGCATGCATGCACGTAGGTAGGTAGGTAGGTAGGTATGTATGTATGTATGTATGTATTTGCGTGTAGATGTATGTATGTCTGTATTTGTGTGTATGTGTATTCGGCTACCTGCAGACACATCAATGCGCATACATATTTTGTCCAGACGCTTGTTCATGGACATGATGGAAACCCGGTTTAACTTAGGACCCGTCTTCTGCCGAAGAGGAACATCAGGGATCTGACGAAGGAAACGCAAGAGACATGCCATGAGCAAACGTGCTACCGCTTCCACCATCGCGGGCTTCCTCTAATAACTCCAACGAGCTGCTGTTTCAAGGAACCATATTCATCATGCCACGTATCTGGCACAAAGTGCACGGACAGATGTAGCCCAAAACACACATAAGCAGTACATTATAGGTTTAGGGTCAGTAAGGAAGATATTGCAATGAAAGAATTATATAAGGATTATCTTCCCATATTCCCAACTATGTCACACGCAACAATGTCCCAAAATGTGTTGGAATATGGGCAGCCGCATTCTACTCACACACATGTGTCTTGTTTTCTGATTCCCAACAAGCATATGGGTTTACGGCTTTCATTTCTTGACTGCTGCCCCGACACTTTGAAGACCCACAGTAACCAATCAGCTTGTGGCAAACAGGGCTGTAGGGAGGATGCATTGTCTTCCCGCAGCTATTCATGCTGCTTCGCTGCTTCGGCGTGGCTGTAAGAATACTCTATGTTCATTGGCTTGAACTCACCCTGGTTCTGGCAATAAACCTTCTTGTATTGAATTCCTTCAAAGGCCGAATCAACCCCATAACACCAGATGGCCACAAAGACAACTCTTTACCAGCATCGGCCGTAGGTAGTCCATGTCGAGTTTATAGGACCCCTAAATGAAATCCTAAGCACCTTGAATGCGGAATATTCAGCCTTAATCGCAAGCCCCAAGCCCTACACCACAAGCCCTGAACACTGAACTTCCCAAGTACACCGGCCAGGCAGCGTGGACTAGCCAGACCAACCCCAACAGCAAATTGAGGACGGCCAAAAACTTGTAGTTCTTGACCCACTCCTGGGGTAGTGGGCTTTGGAGAGGGCATGTACGCTGTTGTTTGAAGTGTTTGCAACGTCTAAAGGCTAATGTTTCCCCATATTGGTGTACTATGTTCTAGATTGCTTAACGCGTGAACCAAAGAAGTTGTGCCAGCGAAAAGTGGTACTGTAGATGCCTCCACTTTGAACGCCATTCGCAATTTTCAATAACAATTTTCAATGGATGCAGAAGCCTCCCGTCGTGTTTCTGATGTCATGGGCGATGACTGAAACGGACTTCTTTACTTAAGCTAAGGCGAGCCTTGTCACGTTTTCTAGCTCAGGGCTTCACGAGCATGAGAGGAATGGCAGGGCCCCAAACACGTTCGAGATTACCGCCGCGCTGTTTCCCAGTCAGTTGTGGCGCCCCCGCTGATCCTTCTGAAGCAAATATCTACCCAAAGCCTGACAGACCAACTGGCACATAAACGCCCAAAGTGTAGCGGCCTAAATAAACTGGATAGGGTTTTGGTGTGTATTATACCAGAATATGCGACAATAACACAGGGATAATTTACAAGAGTCCTCAGCCCCTGGACAAGCCTTGAATGCTGCAACACCCACAAGCCAGATGCTGAAGACAAGGCTCTATGAGCTGCACGAGCTTGACCACCCGAAGGTACTTCAGCAACTTCGTCATCCTCAGAAGTTTCAAAGAATGTATACTTTAGAGTCAGGGTATATTTGGCAGTTTCCCAAAATAAGGCGACCCCAAGATAGACCTCAATAGACTATAATCCTTACTCTTGGGACCCCCAAAAAAGGTACCACTAATTTTGGGAACCCCCCCATTTAGCTTATCAAGGCATGGCTGTGAATAGAGCGTCGCTTGAAAGGATGATAGAGTACTTCGACACACCATCCAGGATTTCCAGAGAAAAAGCTTCGGTCGGAAGCTTTGGCCCAGCATCTACTGCCTAAAGACTTGCAAGCTGGGTGCGTCAAATCACGGCCAGTTAATTTTACCAGGCCAATGTCTTCCCTTTGTTCAAAGGATTCTTCTTTTTGTGTCTCGTCAGGCCTCTGGGGATGCAGAAGTCCAAGCCTCAGGTCCTGGCAGTGGGATGTTACCCAAAAGAGCGTGGTAGCTTTTTGGGCTCTTTGCTGACTGGAAAAAGCCCGAATCAAACACTCTTT